AGTCAAAGATATGAGTAACTCCTCGACACTTGATTCTCAGGCTGTTTTACTTGAAGCTGCACCGCCCCCCTCTGGCAGTAAACGGCATGTCCGCTCCGAGTGCGCTGGGTTTACCGTCGCCATGACAACCCCAGGAGACGCTCACGCCAGAGTTCAGAAACAACCGGACGGAAGCGACGGAGAAGAGAATCTGAGTGTTTGTTAACCTTTCATTTGAGTTTTCAGTCTTCTGTCTCGCCGACATGGAGCCTGTGATTGTTCCTGTCGAAGCTGAAGGGTTCGTTCAGAGTCTGGAAACTTTCTCCATCAGGGACCTGGGCTCTACGAGGTGACTCCATGCTAACCCTGCTAACTAGCTAGCTATAGTTAAGGTTACTTTGCTAGATCAGCATAAGTAAACACTGTTAGCCTGTGTGAAGTAAGGTAAGCAAAGCTAACAGATATTTAGCTAAATGAAAACATGTCAGGAAACAGTCCATTACTTTTCTTTTTCTGTCCAACCAACAGTTCAGCAGTTATTCTGTTTACAATGATTTGAAACTGAAATCCTTAAATCCTCTCACTACAGAATCTGCTTCGTGTCTTTTGAGCATTTTTAATTAGAAACAATAAGAAATGATTACACACTTTTTCTGTGTGCGATTAGAATACATTCAGATTATTATTTTAATTTACCTTGTGTGTTGACAGGTGGTTCAGACAGCATGAGTACATCGAGAAACTTAACATACAAGCGATACTGAATGCCTCTGCCATGCACGATGAGTTCATCAAGGAGCTGCTGGTGTCGTATGGAAAGGTAACTGTCCTCTCTATCCATCCATCCACTTATCCTTTGTAGGGTTGCAGGGGGACTGGATCCTATCCCAGCTAACATTGGACAAGAGTTAGGGTAACTAACTAACCCGCCAGACAGAGACAACAACCATTAACTTTGAAATTCACAGCTATGGTCAATTTAGAGGCTCCAGTTAACATAACCCCCCACATGTCTTGTGAGAGACTGTGGTCTTGAGTCTGTGGGAGGAAGCTGGAGAAAAACACAGACACAAGGAGATCATGCAAACTCCACACAGAAAGCACCCTGGCCATACAAATACACATTCAAAACAAGATGCTGTGTGTTGACAGTGCTAACCACTGGACCAACGTACACACGTGATCTTTTATTGTCGTCAGCATAAAAGGTTCAGTGTGTAGAATTTAGTGACATCTAGTGGTGAAGTTCCATGTTGCAGCTGAATACCTGAAGGAGAACCTGTAGCAGCCTTCACTTGTCATAAAAACTCAAAAGGTTTAGTTTGTCCAGTTTGGACTACTGTAAAAAACATGGTCGCCTCTGGAGAGAGGACCTTCTCCTGATGCAAATATGAAGTATTTCATTGTGAGGGCCCATTCTAGGTTAAAGAAAACAACAGCATTTTCCGTTTTCTTTTCCTCCCCCTTTGTAGATCCCCCTCCTGATCCGTGAGATGATTCTCGTGGAAATGTGGAAGCAGAAAGTGTTCCCTATCTTATGTCAGCTGCAGGACGTCATTCCTAAGAGCACATTTCATCTTTACATGGTGGTGAGTCAAAAATGATTACAGGTGGAGAATTATGATCAGCATGTAGCTCTCACAACTGATTTCATCTGTTCTTTCATGTCACCTTCTTAGATCCACCATGAAGCCACAATTATAAACCTCCTGGAAACTATCATGTTTCACAAGGTCAGTTGGTGCACTAATGCAAAGCTTGTGAGGGATATGAATCTGTTGCAAATTATCCCAGCAATGCAGTGACGACTCATTCTCTCTGTAAAAATTTTACTTGTGGCTTGTGTGTGCTGTGTAGGATTCCTGTGAGGCAGCGGATGACTATATGGTTGACTTGGTGGATTATTGCCACCGCAAACTCACCCTGCTGGCCAGTAAGGCAACCAGGGAGAACACTGCAGCTCAATACAAGCTGACAGATAAAACAGATGTACCCACTATGGAGGTAAAGGACGGTTCTCTTTATCTTCAAAACATATTAGATGAGACATTTCTTTCGCTTCAATTGATGGATGAGTTTTCTTTTTTTCTTGTTGAAGGAGTTGCAGATTCAAAGCGCTGCCCTGGAGTTTGAGATCTCGCTGAAGGCTGTTTCTGTGCTGCGCTACGTCACAGATCACACCAACAGGTATGATCATGTCTGAGTCGTCAATAAGGTTAAGGGATTAGATGTTTACTGATCCCTTAACTTATTTTATAGATTCTGCAATTTAACAGTCATTACCTTCGCCAAGCAGGCTAGGTTTCCTCCCCTCTGTCAGTTGATTTGTTTGTATTTTCAGCATTTTCACGAAATCCTAAGGGATTCATTCATGGATCTTAATGAGAGATAAAATCTGTTATATCTAGAGGACTGATATCTATGAGTGTGTGCAATTTGGCATTTAAAGGTACTGTTGGGCCTTGGCGGAGTTAAAATTGGGAGGTACATTTTTTCCAAAAAGAATTGCCTCTCTCAATTTGAGTTTAGATCTTTAAAATTCTTATTTTGTTTGAAAAAACTGTGTAAAACCCAAAGGTATTTATTTAACAATGACATAAATAAAAAATTAAGCATATTTGAGAATCTTGAACCAGAGAATATTCAGCACTTTGCTAGAAACATGACGAAAGTAGGAAATCAGTTACCACAAATCTGTCAGTGTGCTACTTGATTAACTGACCAATCCTTTTTTGTTTTGTTTTACAGTATCAGTGCTATCAATCGCATGCTGTGCACCCATAACATGCCTTGTGTACTCGTTCAGCTGATTGACTGCTGCCCTTGGAGTCGCTTCAGAGAAGGTACACAGCACCTCTTACACGCCAGATATGTCTTTATGTTTTTACATCTCCTAAAGATTTGTGGGTGTTTTTGCCTCTGTCTGCCGCTCTAGGTGAGCTGGAGAAGTACATAAACTGCAAGTGGCAGAAGATTTCTGCGGACGACCATTTAAAGATGACAAAACTTGACGGCCAGGTCTGGATTTCCCTTCTCAATCTGCTGCTGAAGGAAGATTGCCAAAGAAAATATGACTTCAACAGTTTCAACAAGAATCAGCTGCTGAAGGTAAAGTTTGAATGAAACGATGAAATTCATTCTTTCCTACTGTCTATTATTTGTAAACAGAACCTGAGGAAGTGTTTGTGCCAGATCATTTTCCTGTAACATCGTATCTGATCTCCTCACAGATTCAGTTTCCAAATGTTGTTTTGACTAAGAAGTTTCCTCCCATTATATGTTTCTCATCCTCTTCCTGTCTCAGTACTTATATAAAACAGAAGGCCTTGTGCCTCCTGTAATCACATTTTTTCTTATGATGGAGTTGTCCCAAGGTTTTTTTTGTTGCGCTTGTTGCTATATTGTTTGTGAGCTTATCATTCTTGTGCCACAGCTCCGCGGTTTCTTGACAGAGGTGCTGGTTGATCAGCTGCCAAACTTGGTGGAGCTGCAGCGTTTCCTGGCTCATCTCGCAGTCACAGATCCTGGCCCTCCAAAAAAAGAGCTTGTTTTGGAGCAGGTAGACTCTCAGCCACACATATCCTGTGTGTCAAACTATGTCCCTGTGAATTTACTTTCAATGTTTCTGTTTGTGTAGATCCCAGAAATGTGGAACCACATTGCGAGGGAGAACTCAGGGAAGTGGAAGGCAATAGCAAAGTATCAAGTGAAAGAGACATTCAACCCGTCTGAAAATGACCTGAGAGTACATGCACAGAGGTAATACTGAAAACACGAGATCTAACTCAGCACTGAGATCAGAGAAATGACTCAGTTCATATTGCATTGGAATTGTATAATAGTGTGTTTTTTTTCATCCAGGTTGGCCCAGACGTACAACTTGGATGTGATGGAGAGTTTACTCCCTGAGAAGCCAAAGTGTGGATGCTGTGGAAAAGAGGCAGCAAAGAGATGCTCTCACTGTCAGGGAGAATGGTACTGTAACAGGTACGTCCTGTATCCATGTGAGTCCAGCAGTTATACTGGACTGGACATTGAAAATGTTTTTTTGTGTTTGCATCAGACATCACACAAGAATAACTCTCAGAGGATCATGTCAGCCAAGGCCCAACTGTCCCCTTACATTCCATCAAGACTCATGAAATGAAACACAAGCATCAGTTCCATAAATATGCCTGATTTTATTCATCTAGATCTCAGGAAATTGTTGAAAACCTCCAAAAAATCTTACAGCATTACAGTCAGTAAAAAACCTGGATCCTGGATACACACAAAGCTTTGATTGGTTATTCTCAGAACTGTACCACATTCTTCCACCAAGTTTCATGATAATCCATCCTGTAGTTTTTCTGTAATGAAAACATTATATGATCCACTCTCACCAGAAATATTATCTGTACTCAATATCCTAAATAGATATTTTAGCTTTTGTTTTATCATATTCTAAATGTTTTCCCTCAGGTATAACTGAATTGTTTGTGTTTTGCAGAGAATGTCAGGTGAAGCACTGGTCTAAACACAAGAAAGCGTGTCAGCTCATGGCCGAGGCCACAGAGAAGATCCAGAGGGATCTGAACATCAACAGCTGAAAGAAAAACTATTGGAAGCTAATTTATAGACCGAACGAGAGTGCAAGATGTTATTCTGTAAACCAAAATGTGAAGAAAATAGATCTGCATGTGGGAAATGCAGATACATTATAAATAAGGAAACTTCTTTCTTTGTACTTTCTACTCTTTGCTTTTTGTTTTGAACACTGTAAGGTTTTTTCCATCAGAAACTAAAAGGGAACTTAATCTGCATGTAGAAGTATTGAGATCAGATACACAGAAGTTTCCTGTAAACTGCCCACATTAAACAGTCAAAAATATCCACTCTGTGATAAAGTTGAAAGGATATTTGTTACTGCACTGAATACAGATCACCCCCCCTCCCCATAAGACATTTGTTTTGATCCACAAAATCCAGATCATCATTCAGATCCACACCAAATGTCACCCGTTCATAGATACTCTACACATGCTTAAGTTCTTCATAAGTATCTCTACATTATTTCTCACAAAGAAAGAAAATAAATGAAAATGACCACCTGACCATGCGAACGTGGCTCTGGAGAAGGTATTGACGGACATTAAGGCTGAAAACATGGTGTAAATGATCAAATTTTAATGTCGGGGCTTACGGACACCACAGGAGCAGTATGGAGGCATTTTCTGTTTTTCTTTCTGTTTTTATACATTTGAAAAAGTGGTCACCATCTCCTTCAATTGTATTGGATTTGGCTGCAATGCTGTTTACCCCTGAAACTCTTTCACTCACCCCTCCATCGACATAATGGAGAGTAGATAATGACTGAATTGTCTTTTTCTGGGTGAACTAAAAATGCATTTTTAAAAGAGAGCAGACAAAAAAATACAACATCATTTAAAAGTAATGGCAAAAGACAATGAATAAAAGAAACATCAGGAATAGTAATGCATGTCTTTGAGGGTGTGGTTATTGACTGGAGACCTGAGGAAGGTTTGCAGTGGGTTTCAGCCTCAGGAATACATGTAGTTTGACAGTGGAGTGGAATGGAGCAGGATCCTCACTCCTGCAGACACGTGTGTTTGGTTGCAGACTCAGTGGGTGTGGGGACTGACTCTGGACTCAGAAGCACCCCCTATGTGAAAACATTCCGGATGTACATCAGCTCACTCTCATCTCACTCTCTCTCTGTCATGATCGGCCGCTTCCTCGTGAGATTCAGAGCAAATGTCAGAGAAAAGATGGTTGTTGGCGCGTTAGTCGGATGTTAGCTTCAGGTCACAGCCCGCGGTGCTGATCGCTTATTTCCACAGATGCGTCCTCTGCTCGCCTCCTCCGTTACTTGGAAACTGTCAGAAATGTCCGCGGAAAGTTTTTCTCCTCGGATGGAGGAGGAGGAGGAGGTGCTGAGACAAAGCGGAGCTGCTTTCTCCTCCGTGTTGGTGAGTGTGAAAATACTTCAGTGTTTTCTTCAAACTTTAGAAACGGAGCAGTTACATTTGCTCTAAATGTTGTTTCAGACTAAACGTCTGATAACTCATCCCCCGAGTCCCCCTGAACGCATCTTCTACTGTTCTACTTATAGAGGATTTATAACTACTCTGAAAACAGCCTGCAGATCTGTATATACATTCACATGTTACATAATGTGTCTAACAGGAGGTTATACAGATCTTTATATACATTCACATGTTACAGTAAAGTGTCTAACAGGAGGTTATACAGATCTTTATATACATTCAC